TCACGCACGAAGATTGAGTCCCCGGACGAGAAACAAAGCAACAAAAACCACTTTTCGAAGGGGATCGCGAGTAGATCGAGCGGAGCCGAGGGAGCGCATGGAAAGAAGTGCGCTTCAGGGCGACAGGACGCATTGGGAGAATGAAATCAAAGCGTTTGAATTTGGAGAATAGAGATAGAACGATCGATAGAATAAGATGCGGATGGAGGTAGAAAGGATTTTGCTCAAGGTGAAAAGGCAACAAAAAGTTTTTAGTAACGGCACGCCAGTTAGTAAGTGGAAGCGTCTCGCCGAAACACTTATGAGAGATGTGCGGCTCGGATTTGAACGCGTAACAGTTCTCCTATTTTTTCGCCTTGTTTATCAAATAGGCCCAATTTTTGTTTTTTTTTTCGCTCTTTGTACAGCATGGCCCTAATCCCTTTCGGCCCTGGCGGTGGCAATTGCCACCATCAAATTCAAATGTCTGCATTACCGCTGCAACAGCATATTTCTACTACCCACTAGAGGTTACTTCAGACAACCTTCCCCTTCCTAATTATGCTTTGAACCTGCCATTTTATTGTGTGTTGCTGTTAGCATTACAAGTATTTGTGTACAAGTGCAACAATGAATCGGCGCTGGTCTCAGCAAGCTGCTAGGTAAGTGTCAATCATTTCTAAAATACTTGACATATATTCATTTCTTATCAAAAACGTGATATAATGTTGTGCAAGATTATAAACTTTTTCGGCATAACTAAGAAATTTGGAATTGTTTCGACATAAGCTAAAAACTAAGAAGGTGGGCCAATTTTCAAAGCTTCCTAGTTTCTTAGTTTGTGATCGAATAGCTTCCAAATTTCGCTATAATGATATTTATGTGCTCACAAGTAATAAACAATAGCAAGAAGAAAAATTTTCCACGGAAAAAATTCAGGTCGAAAGGTTAAACTCGCGATTTATGAGGGACATGGAATAGTGACGTTGACATGGACGTTTCTGGTTTGGCGCGGAAGCTGGGCTGTCATTCGCGTTCTGAAAATTCCCTCCAGTCTTATAGCAGAAGTCATTTCGATCACTATAGCAGGGATAGTGCCATTGAAGCCTTTGCTGAGGAAAATGTGGTATAAGTGAACATCACCGAGGCGTACTGGAGAATTTGGCATGGCCATTGATTGGAGAGATGTTGAAGAAAGGGAGAACTCAAAAAGATGGCAGGGTAAAACAATAAACGCAGAGGAGGTGTGTTGTGGAGTGTACAAAGTTACCAATTAGTAATATATGCTAACACACAAGAGTATGTCAGAAGAGCTAGCTAGAATTGAGGGACCGCAGGTGTGTTTCGGCATGCACTGTGATGATCCCTTGCCCTACCCTCCCTATTTCTCAAAGCGCTCGAAGGAGTCGCCTAGTTCGTTTTTCAGTCGCGGTAACCACTCATCAGTTTCAAGAATCAATCCACGCTCCCACTTACAAGATCGTGGAATGATAGCTACTTTTCAACAAGGAAGTGTTAAAGTTGGTCATTCGAAAGAATTTCGATTTCGAATCAAATTCGTAAGAACTATGAAGTAATTGACGTCTGCAATGATCAGCTTATGCAAGCCAATGCAAAGATCTTTGTTTTTTCACTCACGGCAGGTCTTGTACCGAATAACCAGGGCCAGGGTATTGTAGATCAAAGTTTGTCTGGAAGAGGATTTCAAGCCACCAGGTTTAAGTGTGTCACCGCCCGAAGGAGCTTGTATATGGAACACTGCAACATTTTCATGAACCATCAGAACCACAGTTAGCTATTGCAGCTCCTTTTCGCCCTTTTCGTTTCTATGGGTTGCATCACACGCATTTGTGTCAACACTCAGCCGATTCCGAGAAGGTGGGATGAGGTAGGTTTGCCAAGCTTTGAATAGAATTCCTTCAAAAGACGATGTGATTTCAGAGTGTTTTGGAAAATATAGCGAAATTGAAAGAAAACTCTTCATCACTCACCGTTGCACCGCAGACGAATCATAAGGGTAAGGGCGCGTCCAAGAAGAAAGCCTCTAATGGAGCTGATTATCAGGGAATGATCCGTAACTACTGGGTGGAATACTGGGACAAGAAACAGAAAAGATGGATTTGTAAGCTTTCGTGGGATTTTTGAAAGTTGTGTCCTCGAGTGATGGTTTCTGAAAATGCGTTATTTAAGGTGTTGATCCACTTCGAGCAACGGTCGACGAACCAAACGCGCTCGAGGAGAATGCCTCAAAGCCTATTGTTTACGTTCTGGCTATTGATAACGGCAAGTTGAGCCTCATTTTTTTCCTCAAAGGAGGCTCCCATGGTAAAGTCAAAGGTCGAAGAAGGGGAACTCACGTAGCGGAAAGCAGGCAGACCTCCTAAAGGTGCGGACCGCACGCAATTCCCCGAAAAGGGATATGCACTCAGCGAACTATCATGACTCTCCCCACGGAGCTATCAGCGAGTACGCCCGTCGACTGGCGAACGCGCTCGCTGCAGGCCTCTAGCCGTTTAGCCGAGAACAGCAGGCTAGCGGGACGGGTAGCAAGCCTAATGAGGTACGCATCATTGGAAGATCAATTGACAAGGAAGATGTCCTATTTCTTGAGTCCTGGGCCGTTTCTCATGGTTTTTTCTTCATTCCGACACCACTAGTTACCTACACCTCATTTTAAAGGATCTTCCACGGACCATGGACCAGTGGGCGGGACCGGAAGTTTTTGTGACGAAATGCATGGTAGGTACGGATCCACGTGTCGAACGCACGAACGTGAACAGGATTCACTTCAAACCTTCCCATGAACGTGGATCCGTACCTACCATGCATTTCGTCGCAAAACCACTTCCGGTCCCGCCCACTGGTCCATGGTCCGTGGAAGATTCCTTTAAAGGTACCTTCCAAATCGTAAAACCCCACCTTTATCACGCTGACAACTGCGTGGGGCGCATGCGCCTCGCATCTCATAGTTTTTTCTCGAGGCATCTTCTACTGAAACAATCGTGTCAGAACTATTTTGAGGTCTAATCTACCTAACCCAATTGAAATTTGCCTTTTCATTGTCATGACACGTCATTTTGGTCAAACTTTTGCTTCATTACCGCCCGATTTCTTTTATCTATGAAAATGCGAAAGACCGACTGTGAATAGATCATATAAAAACTTCGAAGCAGCGAGAATGTCTTGCAAGAAAAAAGTCAGAAGACAAATCATGTTTGGAAAAGCATTAGGATCGCTCTCGAGATTTGCGAGTTAAAACATTTAAAATCCTCAGACAATTGAGGTGTGAAGTCGGGTCGCGCTAGACCAGAATCGCTTGCGGGTCCACGCTGCGTAAGAAAAAAAACCTAAAAGGCGCACTGTCGTTGAACGTTGCCTGGACCATGGAATAGTTATTATGAGGATGAGGTTTCTTTATGGTTCACGCAGTCATAGTGAACAACCGTTGGCTCCTGCCACTCGGTGAAATTTTCGTTATAAAGAAGTAAATTTAATCGTTTTCAGAGGCGTTGTGACGTGACGTGACTGCCGGTATTGCGGCCTGAATTCTCCGGCGTCCTGGGATGTTTCGCCGACGTCGAAACCGATCCGGATTGGCTTGCTCGTACTTTGGGAAAGAAAGTAAGTACATACTTCGCTTCCCTTTCTTAGTAGAACAAGATAAAAGATCTCCCCGCGGTCGGATCGCAGGAAAATATTTTCCCGCAAATAGGTTTGTTAGGTCGCAACCGCTGAGACAGGAACACTTTCGCGACTTGAAGGCAGCGATTACGATACAGTGGGAGCGTATTGGAGAACCACACGAATCAGTTACTTGGCTGCCAGAGAAGCGAGATGTAGCGCTTTCACGACGGAAGGTGCGCTGGTTGCTGAGCAGGACTTCGAAAGCACTCCGCCCCCAAAAGCGATCCGCCCACTAGTTTAGTTGGTGATTTGGACGAGCTGCGTTGCCAGCAGCGGCACAACTGGAGCAACTCGATTGGAGCGTGGTTTGGCATGGTGCCACCAAACGCGTTGCGCTGAACTCGTTCATACGTCCGCTTTCTGAGCTGTTACCTGTTCATGAGTGAAAACCAACGGCCAAAAAAGGGGTCCCGTTTTGCGTTTTCTTGACGGATTTCTCCGCTTTTTTCGCCACTGACGTACCATTGAGCACCACCACGTCTCCTCTAAACCTTCTTGAATCTATCGTAATCGCTGCCTTTAATAGCGTGGAAGAGCGGTAGTGGTCAGGACCTCACAACCATGGCTAGCTCAGCCAACGACACACTCCCACCGTTGTGATGTACGCTTTCTAGCTCCTCGCTATGCTCTCTAGTGTCCGTTCGTAGTTCTCTCGCATGGGCACCCAGTGTCCATCGAACTGTGTGTCCCCCTCTTCAAGCCTCCAGAGAGGGAGAGAGAAGATTATTATGAAAGACACTTTCAATATTTTCTGTTGCATTTTTCTTCAATGGCAGATGAACTAGCACCCACTGTTTCACATTTGAGCCCCATATTACCTCATTTCTCCCTTCTGCGGAATGGCTATTAGGTTTGAAATGATAAAGGTGGAAGCGCTTGTCAGAGCAGGATAGAACTGATTTATATTTTGAGGAAGCAAGAAAACGTTTCTATAGGAGTCATGAAAAACCCTTTTTCCAGTATGGGCATCAATATCATTGAGTTTTTCCTTCGTCCACTCCTTACTTTAGTAGGCGAAACCTCACAATCCTTTGGAATTTCTTGTCTTATCATTGCTGAATTGTCGTCAATCGAAAGATTTCGTTTTTCATGTTGCAATCAGATACGACCAGCTTGTACACAGGAGGGCGTAGGGGAGGGGAGGGGACAGCAAAAGTTCAATGGATAATCACTC